TCAATTTGCCTTAATTATGCACTATGCTATATAAAACAGAGGAGGAAAATTTCAGCAATGGACAGTAATTTATATATTCATTCATCATTAGTGTAATGAAGAGCCCATTAAGTCATTTCTCATATATAGTAACCATAACTATTAGGTGAAGTTTCCCATCATCACATTTACTGTGGACTATATGTGGACAAAGATTGATTCTCCATGTGCGCATGGGGCTTCCATTTTTATATTTGTACTTCTCACATGTCCTCTGAATTCAATACAGTGTTCTTGCTATTTCATAGAAGTCTGCTGTTCCAAAGTGATACCCAAGTGTATAGAAGAGAGTGAACATCTTAACTCTGAATTTTAGAGAGTGAAATTATGAATTTATGGTAAGCATGTTACACCACACAAATTATGTATAACAATAGGGCATTTTGATAGAGAGGTGTTTGGGAAATTCTGTTCGCAGCAGTTTATCTTATCAAAACTTTTGCAATCCTTCCAAATCAAAATTGATATGGCCATTAAGATCCTACAAAGTTTCATTAAAAATCAATTTTGAAGACTACAAATTAGAGGCCTGATTTGCTTTTGGGGCCTATGGCTTAATTATTTTGGCTAAGTTGTTATAACTGGTGAAAAACTAGCTTGTTTGACAGAAAAGTGCGAGTGGGAGACAAAAAAAGTATGGTTTCCTGATACCTTTAAGACATATTCATATCTCCTGCAATCATGGAACTCCTGGTTGTTGCCAGTGACAAGTCGAACTCATTGATCACAGAAAGAAAACCCACTTTTTATTTGGAAACATTTTTTACCGAGGGCCATACAGGTGAAAATGTTTTCAAGCACTGCCCTCTTTCACCCAGGTCAAAATATGGTACTCTCCAGTCAAGTATTGCTTCATTTTTGTCAGAAGGTCAAAATATGTAACTGTTCATGTAGCTGCTAAGAAAAATGTGCCATTGTAATGAGTAGTGCATATGAGAAAAAGCTGATGAGTAGAATGCTTAGGGCAAAATATCGTTGCGACAACTTTCATACATCTTGAAAGATGAGCCTTTTGCTGTCAAGACTAAACCAGAAGATTAGGCAGAAATATTAAAGCAATATATATATTAATGCAATAAATATTTTAAATATTAAAACCATTGTTATGTGTCAGTACACTTTCTTGTGTGTTGTCTGTGCCCCTATACAAATCACTAATTGCAGCAATTTGCTGCAGGTGCATTTCAGGTAGTGAAAAAATTAGATGTGGAAATGCTGGTATACTTCAACATATGTGGGTTGTATGACAATGATTTGGATATAGGTCAATGTATCATTATATGGAATATTTTAACATAATTATGTTTAAGGCCAAGATACCTGGATAAAATCTTGCCTTGACTGGCATTTATGCACTAAATCTTGATAATTGCATTCTTCCCCCCATATAACCCCAAGGAGAAGAAATAAACTACTTCATCAAGAAATGTCTAAAAACCAAATTCCAAAGGAAAGTAATGACATTTTATGATAAACCTTACCTTACCGGCATGAACTTGTATCACAGAGCTGATTTTTAATTAATCGGTGTAGTTCATTAAGGTGGAATTTAACTACCAGATAATCTTTCTTATTATCTTGCCAGGTCATCATCTGTTTCTGATATTTTATGTATGATAGGCAGGTGTTCATGTCTTACTACGGTAATGTGAGTACGTTAAGGGAATTTTGGTTCAAAAACCGTTAAATAGTTCATAAAACATTCCATGAATGAGTTAACTGGAGATTCAAATGGTAATGTGCTGGGATCTTAGCTGTATTTACTTATCCTGGTGATTACATTAGAAAGGATGTTGTTCTTGACATAGATTGGAGTTGACTTTCAAATATTCTTTCCATGATTTGATATAAAGTTGCTATCAAAGTTGATTGGAAATAAATCAGTTAAGGTGGAATACCTCTTGCATATGGCATTTTAAGAAAAATGCAAAGTTCATTGACACTTAGGCTCTATTCCCATAGATTTTAGATCGATTTATCCCCGCGGGGAGTCTCACTAGATTACTTTCAGTTAATCCGACTTAAATGTCCATCCCGCCTACTACAAGCTGTAAGGGGGTAATTAACTTTCGTGTCCGCCCGGCTGACAGCTATTTAGCGTGAACCCCCAGGGAGTTAGGTCGATCTAAAGTAGGTCGATCTAATCTATGGAAATGGGATGTTAGACTGGGTTCCTATACCTAGGTGGATCTAACAGGATCGATCCATCTCCAATTGTTTACGCTAAATGGCTTTCAGCTTAAGTGGCTTAAATGTCTGCTAAACAATAATTAATTAACCCCTAGCAGCTTCAGTAGACGTGACAGACATCTAAACGGCTCAAGTTGATTGCGATTCAGCAAGAATCCCCTTAGAGATAGATCGATCTACAGTTAGTATGATAGGGTCTGGGAATGGTCCCTTAGTTCAGTGTCCTTCCAAAGACAATTTTCTTTCTCTTATTGCAAAGCCTCAGTAGATGGTTTTCTCCACNTATGCAAGCTAAATGCACCATAATCATTGTAAAAGAAATTTCATTCAAATGACCTTTTTTCAGAAGTGTGATGTAAACAGTGAAGTTGATGGAAGATACCCAATTCACTTTGCATCAGATTATGGACAGCTGAGTGTTATTGAATACTTAATTTCCAAAGGTGCTAAGGTTGATGTAAGTAAAAGGCCTTTCCTTTCATATCTATTCTTGATTTGTGTATTTAAGACTTATTGAAATAAATTCATCCAGTTTAACAAGACAAAAGTGCTGATCAAAGATGTATCAAGTGCCATTGTTGATAAAACCCAGTAAAGACAGGAATTTAAACTAACAATAAAATGATATCCAGAGATTTTTACTCTGATGCTTTATCTGTTACATAAGTTTCAAAAAATGGAAAGCTGTGTGAATCTGCAAATATCATGGTTTCCCACTTCTCAAAGCAAGTGTAGTATAACTGTAGGTGATTTTAATATTCCTTGACTAGTGTCCTTCAGATAATAAGAGTCTGTGTCCTGGGAATGCTCAATGTTGTATGTCTAGCTCTGGGTTAAGACGGCAGGTGTTCATAAGCTAATTTTGCAGTCAATTCCCTTTATTGCTTTTATTTTACAATTTCTTTTTTATAAAGACATTTGTAAATATGTGTGCTTTTAAAGGCCCTACTTACAATAAGAACAAAAAGGTCATGCCTCAGTCATTAAAGAATATCTCTTACAGGTGATGTTGAGGCAAGTGAGTCATTCAATTCACTCTTAAACAAGCATGCCACTTTGCATGCTGCAGGGGTACAAGCATGGCTTTTTTTTTTCATGAGAGTATAATCAGTCAGCATTTTTGCTTTTAAATTTTTAGAGGCTGATACTTGGAAAAGGACATTTACAAAAATATTCCCTGTTCTTTTTTCCTTAGGTTAATGATAAACATGGCATTTCCCCACTTCTAGCTGCAATCTGGGAAGGTCACACAGAATGTGTAAAATTACTAATAGAAAAGGTATGTACATTTTGTCATCATTTTTAGATACTAGTTAACTATATAAAGTAAACTGAGCTGATAAAGGTCACACATTCAAATTTGTTCCATATCTTTAAGTGGTTCTCACAACCAAAGCAACATACAGTTAGGCATCATTTGGTCTTTCACATTATCCAGTGCAGAAATATTTTTCAATGGTGGTCCAAGATTTTTTTTTTTTAGGGACTGATGATTTTAACTGTTGCCTTCAATATATCATAAGTTTTCTAGCAAAATTTGAAGTTCAATTTATTCTTATAGGGTGCCAAGAAAGATGGCAAAGCACCAGACGGCCAGTCCTATGCAGCTTGTGCCGAAAAAGATGACATTAAAGCTCTTTTGCGATGAACAAAGTGACCTATGAAGAATATTCAGTGACAGATGACACTTATGTTATACTGTTAATGACATTCATGTCACATCCAATGATGGCAGTTTGCATTGCCTGGTGATATCTATACAACATCATGCAAGAGTTCAGAAGTGGTGCATTCATGATGGAATATTTTATGATAATGACAAATCATTATATTTAGACAAGAAAATCTATCAGTATTGTGCAATAGATGTATTGTCTTGAGCAATTCAAATGTAAATGAATGTCATGATGGAAAAAGAAAAATGCTACATTATTAAAATTGTCTATAATTTTCACGAAGTTCCTTTTAGTGTGCTACGTTGCCTTTGCCTCAGTAGTGTATTCTTAAAAGATAGTCACAGCACTTTGGAACACTCAAATCTGGTGAAATTGCTTATATATTCCAATGAAACAGTTTGCTTATGGACCAATGTAAATATTGTAGACTCCAGAGAAGTGGATTGCCAAGGAGGTTAATATTAAGTATATAATGTAGTTGACGAAAACAGCAATTTTGAGACTTGTGTATGCAGGCTACGCTTGCTCGTTTTGCAGTAATAAAAATGCTCACTCTAAGCAAGACTTAATTTATACAATTTTAGGGTGCTTTCCCAGAGATTTAGATCGATCTTAAGATTAAGTTTTAGATCGACCGAACTCCCTGGGGGTTCACGCTAAATTGCAGTCAGCCGAGCGGGCACCATAGTTAATTACCCCCTTACAGCTTTTAGTAGGCGGGACAGACGCTCAAGCTGACAGTAATCTAGTGAGACTCCCCACAGGGATAGATCGATCTAAAAATCTATGGAAATGGGGTGTTAATGTTTTTCTTAGTATTTTTTCCTACAGCTAATCAATAACATTTCAACTGGAACCAGAATTTTAAGTTTCCAAACTGACCTGTCATAGTGATTAGTCTGCAAATCTTTAACCATTTTATACTACTGACAAAACGTTCTCACAAACACGTAAATGCAATTAACTGACCCTATAAATGGTAAAAGGAACCTAAAATCATTGTTTGCAGTTTATGTGCCAATAAGATAGAGGGATAATACTATGAGAACTTTTAACTAACATCTCGTTTGTATGCATAAAATAAAAGAAAATCTGTTTAGTATTTTTTTCACTTTATTTCCATTTTTAGTTTCTTTTAAACATAGTCCATGTTCATATTTGATACGACAGTTCTTAACGGTAAGATTTCTGGTAACGTGCACGAGCTCCTGGACCACCAAATTTCTTGGGTTCACAACGACGAGGATCAGCAACTAGCAGGGACTTGTCATACTGTGCTAGAATGTCCTTTATTTCCTTCTTTGAGGCCTCGTCAACATCTGAAAAGACAAAATTGCAAATTGCAACATATCTTGTCAATTTATAGATTAAAAAAAAAAATATTTGAAACCTACAGACACTCAAGTATTACGTAATAAAACCTAATGCAATTTTATCAACCCTTACGTCATTTCTAATTTCACTAGCATTAAACTGAACAGTATGTCAACTGTAATTTCAGTTTCATGCAGCCAAACACATTTACTGATCCGTTTTATTAAGAGGACTTGATGAAATACTTACATTTCTGATAGTAAGCCACAAGGGACTTTGAAATGGCTTGGCGGATAGCTGCAAAATGTTTCAATCAATAATTAATGGTCTGACCTAAAGAATGGCGCATTTTATACTATGGACAAATAGCTCTCATGCTGTATATAGCTAAGACTTTTTTACCATCTTTACATGTATACCAGTTCCAAGTAACAGAATCATTGTTTATAGGTAAAATGAGTTTGGGGAAAAAAAAAAAGAAAAAAAGAAACCCAAATTCCTGAAAACCTACTTTTCACCTTAATAATTTCAGGACCTGTAATTGTTGCTCTCATAAGAAGTGGCGTCTCTTTTTACTTACCATAAACTTGTGCTACATGCCCACCTCCTTTAACACGGACTCTGATGTCAACACCAGAAAATCTGTCTTTACCAAGAAGTAGAACTGGTTCCTGGAGCTAACAGACAAATGGATATTTTCAGTAAACCTATACATTTACTATCTGGCCAGAAATAACATTTCAAATGACAAAACAAGCTCTCTGAAATTACATTTTCTTACTGAAAGTAAACCTCTTGAAAGAAGTTCATAAAGAAGACTTTGCAGTCTGGTAATCCAATACACTACATTACTTTCTACATGCAGCTTCATTTCTTCTCTGAATGGTGGATCTCAGACGACAAGAATTACATCATACAAAATTGGCTGTACAAAACTGAAAAGAAGTTATGCAATATGGCATTTAAGTTACAAAAAGTAAGCTGTCTAAAATTAAAGGAAATGCACCAACCTTGTATCTCAGTGTCACAGGTTCTACCAGATCCAGTGGCTTGCCATTCACCTTGATCAAACCAACACCACGCTTACAGTGGGCAACTGCTGTGGCAGTTTTCTGAAAGGAAAATCACCACTTCTAAATTGAAATATCTTCTTCACAATGTTTTTCCAAGTCTTTACCCAACATTCTCATTTTATGTAAAGATGTATGCCATCAATTTAATTTTATACATATATAGAATCAGCATGCAAATATGGGTCTTATGGCACAGAGTGCAGAATGTTCATCTCTGAATGAGATCTATTTGAGAACCAGATTGACCCTGTGCCTTTTATACAGTGGTCTCATTGTGTAATGGAAAGAAACAACTTGAGCACACTTTTCTACCAGTCCACCCTGACATTAGGTGAGAATCTGATGAACACTAACAGTCAATAGCTCAGTACCTTTGCTCTCTATATAGTAAGGGCACATTTGGGACAAATAACTGCTTACTTTCTTCTTGTTTTGACAGCCACCATAGATTATGCGAATAAATAGGGATTTGTGGAAGGTTTCGTTTATCCAGAAGAAACAGGGGAGAGGGTAGGTAAATTTTGAATACATCGAACTACACAAAGGTGCCTACACAAACGTCTCGCACCCAGACAAATGCTCTGTGCCTTGCAAAACTTTTGTCTTCCCCTCTTTCATTACAGTCAACCTTCATAAAGGTCAACATAAACATTCAGACATACATTGTTTTTTAAAAGTAATGTTTTCATTAATCAAGCCTTTAAAAGAGGACTTAAAACAAGACTAAAATTAGTTTAGTGGTAGATTCAATATCGAGAAGCAAGGCGATCAATGACAGTTAACCTGCTGTGGCAATACGGCACCCTATCATGTCGATGAGATTGTACTAGAGCAGACTAGTCGAAGAGAAACTCACCTTACGCCCGAATACTTGCACCGATTGTATTTGGGGTTTAGTGGCCATCCTACAATACAAAACATAAAGTAAACGTCACGGGAGATCGTTTATTGGAAATGATAACATTAATTCAATGCCCAATTACAGAATTATCACGTAAAAAGGGTCGCTTTTTTGGCTTGATACCTATTTGAGTGTGGCAATGGCCTCCACAGTGCTTAAAAGAGGAAGTTAACAGGGTTGTCCTGAGTGGAATCAAAGTATTTTACTCTCAAATCCAAATTTTATTTCAAAGTCTATTTGAACATTTAAATGATACATCATGGAAAATTATAGAATTTTGTTAATAAACAAAGCAAACATTTTCATCATTTAGCAAATCCGGCACTAAAAATATTCTTTGAATTTTCTCGTTAAGAGAGTATAAGAATTGAACAGGAAGTGACTACATGCCACAACAAGCCTCGTATTCGGTTATTATATCTACAATTGAGCGGTTAACACAACACGACCTGAGCGATGTAGGGGGGCAAGGTCACGTAAATCTTAAACAAATTTTCGCGGGAAATATTTCTCTGCTGAAAGGTGAGTTGAAAAACAAGCGCTTTATTCACCAAATAGCGGTAAACGTTTTTGCATTTATCTTACTTGCTGAAATATTATGATGCTACTTTGACTTTTTTAATTTTTTTATTTAGAAGATAGTGACAGACAGAGAAATACATGTTACTGTTAATATTCTCCTCCCCAGACAAATTTGAACTTAGTCACAGTCGGTACTCGGCTAGCTTTTTTTTTTTTTTACGATTTCATTTTTAGCATGCATAATTTGTTATTATTGGCAACTGTAGTGCATGGTTTCATCATTAAAAACTTTCATTATCTATCAGCAGTTTTGTTTATTCTACTCTGTAATTTAAAGGCAGCTTTTCAACCAAAGGCATCTCTCACCCAGCACCTCTTCCTCCAAACAAAATGGAAACTGAAGTGCCTCTGAATGACGCTAGATGCAAAGAAAATATCAGTCCAGAGGGACCAACAGTTTCAAAGAAATCTAGAATTGAACCTTCAGAGAAAAGGTAGATATAGATGCACAGTACATCCGACAAAAACCTGCACTTGTCATGCCAGTTATACTTCGTACTAGCTGTGTCTGGTGATTAACAAGAATGGGAAACAGCAAAATCACAATTGATGAGTTTGCTCAGCAAAGTTTAATTTCAAAAGGTATTTAGTTAAAATACAAAGTATAAAATAATAACCTTAACAGGCTAGTAAAAATGAGGGGTGGCATGAGAATAATTTAAATTTCATAACTTATGTTCAATAAGTTCAAGGATAGCTGGTTCCCTACTGATAAAATGTATACTAGTACATAAGTCAACATACATATTTTGGCAGGACACATGTGGCCAAGTGTCCAACAGTTCGTGCTTGACAATCCCACACAATTATTTTGAAGTTGCTAGATATTGCATGCTTACACACAAGATCATTAATTTTATCTATAGGCATGAAGAATACAACTATCTGGATGCAATTCAACATATAATTGACCATGGGTCTAAAAAAGAAGACCGTACAGGAACAGGGACATTATCAGTGTTTGGTATGCAAATGAGATACAGCCTGAGAGATGGTAAGAATTTCTGCAATGATATGCTGTATTTTAATAGAAATATTTTTAATTTTAATTTCTTTTTTGAAAGTATTTTTTTATTATATATATATATATATATATATATATATATATATATATATATATATATATATATATATATATATTTATTTATTTTTTTTTTTTTTCTAGTTTTTAATTTACCTCCAGCTCCAATCATACATATTTTGATCATTGGCTATTTGCTGTTGTTTGGATAGTTAAATATACCAGTACATATATGTTTTAGGTGTATTTCCTCTCCTCACTACTAAGCGGGTGTTTTGGCGTGGAGTAGCTGAAGAATTACTTTGGTTTGTGAAAGGGAGTACAAATGCGAAAGAGTTATCTGATAAGAACATTCACATTTGGGACCAAAATGGCTCCAGGGACTTCCTTGATAAATCAGGATTAAAGCATAGAGAGGAAGGTAGATAGTTGTGTGCTGATATTTAGTTTAGACTAAGATCATAAACAAAATATATCTATTAATTATAGACAGCTGTGATGATGTGACAAATGCATCATCCATCAGTTCAATTTCATTTAATTTTAGAAATCTCTGTGAACAGCTGCAAATCTGCTCATTTGGTCAAGTAAATTTTTTTATTGATATCATATTCATTTTAGGTGACCTAGGTCCAGTGTATGGTTTCCAGTGGAGACATTTTGGTGCAGAATATAAGGACATGCATGCCGACTACACTGGTCAGGGTGTGGACCAGCTTCAGGAGGTCATCAACAGAATCCAAACAAACCCTGACTGTAGAAGGATTATCATGTCTGCTTGGAATCCTCCAGGTAGGTATATTCAACCATATTCCTGAACAGGCAATTGGGATTGGTTCTCTACATTTTGAACAATTTTGATGAAATTGAAAAAAGTATAATTTAATTTGTAAGTCAGCATGAGGTGGGGGAAAGGACAGGACACGCAACAGCTGGAGAAGGATGATTAAATCAGATAGGTTATGGGTAGGGAACATAAGAGAAACTGTTCATATCCAGCATCTGTTCTTTGCTTCTTTAAAGAGTGAGAAGGAGAAAGATGAAAATGAAATGGGGCATACATTGGACATTATCCTTTCAGATTTACCCAAGATGGCTCTGCCGCCCTGCCATTCATTTGTTCAGTTTTATGTTTGTAATGGTGAGCTCTCCTGCCAGATGTATCAAAGATCTGGAGATATGGTAATATATACATATATTTCCATGATACTGGGTAACAACAATGGGTTTATCATCTTTGAAAGTCTGTTGAAACAGTGTCTGTAAAGAAAGCATGCTCACAAGATCAGCACCATGTTGAAATTTTGATGCCCATGTCCCATTTTTGTTACTTAGTATGGTGGATGTGCAGATAAATAAATATATATAAATATATATATAAGGATGTTACCAGATCATTTAAATTTGTTCAGTTCTGTTTTGTCTTCATGATGTTCATTTACAAAACACTAGTAATGTTTCATGTGAATTTTGATGTTGTCTAGCAATTCATTGTTGAAAATCACTCTTCATGTAATGCCCTGCTGTGTTTAATTTCATTTTCAGGGACTAGGGGTACCATTTAACATTGCAAGTTATTCCCTTCTCACATACATGATTGCTCATGTTACAGGCCTCAAGGTAAACAGGGGTTTAAAATTTATTTATAATTCATAGTATATGAGTGCATTCAGAAAAAGTGATCCGCAGACTAATAGTAACAGTAGCAACTTCTTACGTCTAGCTGTACTCTTCATTTCATTATTATTATTTTTTTTTTTGGATGCACTTTAGATTTCAAATACAAAGTTGACTTTTAAGCATAAACAATTTTAAGATGCATCTGAGGTCAAATTTTTGTCACAAAAGTCATCCAAATGCTACCACAGTTTCAAATAGCATTATGTCATACGTAACTTACAGAAATAACCACAGATATTGTTTCAAATTTACCTGAAAATGATATTTGATTGCATATTTTCTGCCTGCTTCATATTTATGACTAAAATTTGAAGAAGGTATAGTTTTAAAGCTCTTTTATAACTGATCAAGTGATAAATTTGGTTTATCCTTCGGCATGTTGCATTACTGGGAATCCACACTTGGTTCAAATGTATCTTTAAAATGAAAACATTTTTCCATCATATTTCAGCCTGGAGAATTTGTGCATACCCTGGGAGATGCTCATGTTTATGTGAATCATATTGCTGCTTTGAAAGAACAGGTATTTATCCTCACTATTTTTAATTTGATGTGGAAATAATTCATGAAATGTTAATAAATTTATTGTATGGAATGGATGAGGGTTTTTTGGAGAAATCAAGCTGTAGTTTAAAAGATCTGAAAGCTGTGGCCATTTTGGTGGTTGATTGAGCTTTGCTTTGATTTCTGTTAGATTTAGATCCAATGCATGTCAGCTTTTTCATTTTCATGTAGTCATGTATACCTCCTTATCAAACTGAACTGTAGTGGACACAAGTTCATCCATCAGTAAGCTAAACAGATGAGCAATGAATGAAAATGCAGCCATCATCAATTGATAAGAGTAGGACGCAACAAATGATGTTTTGACTGTAATTGATAAATAAATAATAAGCAATTTGAAGTCAAGTATGAAGTCATTTTTTGTCCAATAACAAAGCTCGTTGTATGTTATACTGATAAGGATATATTTAATTTGCCTATCCAATGGACAGAAGTGCAGAGGATGTCATGAGCAAATCCATTCCTCCCCCTCAAGAGGTGCACGTGTATTTTTTGGTCTCACACTGTGTAATCACACTTATTTACATAACATTTTAAGAGTAAATTCATACATTCCTAAAAGAGTCCTGCAAATGTACCATCTTTGCTCAATATTCTAAAACCACAACATGGATATCAGAGATTTTGATGCCGTTCCCTTGTATGACAGCATGGGGTTCAGACTTTGAACTGAGCATTTGTTAATGAATCAAATACCAGTGACGGTCAGAGTGATAAGTGCTTCATTTAAATTCATTTAAATAGAAATTTGGAAATGAAGTAGCTGGCATGCATCCAAACTTAACCTCAATGTACCATTGGTCCTGCAAACCTTTACAATCTCTAGCAAGATGCCTTCAAAGAAACTAGGGTATATGCATTCATGCTTTTTGTTTAAAATGCATTTTTATGTACAGACACAGATGTGTCTGTACATATTGCCATTACCTGCGTCTGTCGTCGCCGTCGTCGCCGATGCCGATGCCGATGCCGATGCCGATGCCGATGCCGTCGCCGTGCACTTTCACTGTAATCACGGTACGGGGAACATCGTTTTATTTTTTGGTTTTT